AGCTGTTTTTCAGCCTATTTGTCCTTGTTTTTTATTATTCTGTACCGTCTGCCAGATGGTAATAGTTCAAAAAAAGGGTGCCCAGGATGAGATGGATCTTGGAGAATGTTCTGAACTTTCTTAAGGCAGCGGGAGTTATAAAGCTCTTCCAAAGAGGGCAGAGGGCAACCAGTGATCTTCTGGGCAATGACGTTAACCCTCTGGAGTGCTTTCCTATCTGCCACTGTGCAATTGGCAAACCATACAGAGGTGCAGTAAGTTAAAATCCTCTCCATGGTGCAGCGGTAGAAGGTCACCAGCAGTTTCTCATTCGCTTGTTGTTTTCTGAGAAGCCTCCGGTAGTATAATCTCTGCTGGGCCCTTTATGACCAGGGCTGCAATGTGGGCACCCACATTTTTCAGGTAGCAATCTGAATCTCAAAGCTGGAAGTGCCAGTTCAAGTATATTTGAGAGGTTCTGCTCTTACCACACTGGCTAAGGCCCTACTCAAGCCTACCTCTGTGTGAGAATGCAGAGAAAGAAAACTAACTCCATTCCTTTTCTGCAATTTATTCCCAAAGATAAAATAAGGAACTGTAGAGGCAATGCTCTGCAGTCCTCACTTTCTGACTGGCTCACGCAGCAACTATTTGAAGTTATGGTAGTGCTAAAAAAATAACTTTGTGACCAGCCATTTCATTTACAACCATTGTGGTTTCTCTCCGTCGCACGATTGCCAGCTTTTTACCTAGATTTTGAATTAATTGAGTTTTACTCCAACATATCTGGAGCTCACTAGATTAGGAAAGTTTGTTATAGAATGGATTAAATGAGAGACGGCAACATGGGGAAGAGGTATCAAAAATATTCAAACTTCAGAGGGGGCAGTGGGTATGGAAAGGAGAAGCCATGTTATATGTGGTGTTTCTCAAAGGCCACTTGTCCAGATCCTGCCTCCTGACTTTATTTCTTGATAAACTACCATGTTTATGGGATTATAGTACTGATTAATTTCAGGTAGTTAACAAACCAAAGGGAAACTGGGATTTTTGTGACTAGATCAAAGAAAGGACTGGAGATAGACAAGTTGATCTCACCTCCCACCTTAAGTCCCTGACAAGAGTTGCTTTACAGAAAGACAATCCCAATGTCAGGTTTCCAAGTGATGAAATCCATTTAAAAAGAAAAGTACAAAGTCCATCTTCAAAAAAGATTTCTTTTATTTAGGAAAGCATCAAATTGGCAAAGTCCATGATAATTTCGGATCTGACGCAACCCGGAATTACCCCACAATATTACAAGTTAGAAACAACCCCCAAAAGTCACATTCTCCAATAGAAGTAATTCAACATTGCTTGATGTCATAAATCTCCACCTCAAGGGGCCCAAGCAAGGACAGCTCGTTTCCCATGGGAAGAAAGATCTTCCCTATCCAAAATACTCTCTTTATCTCCACTCCTCCCCTACCCCATTAGGAATGTGGCAAGCCCGAAACCCTTCCCCTCATGACAGCCACAGAGAAATTAAGAAAAAGAATATATACTAAGACTAACTAAAATGGCTACACTTATGTCAATTTCGGGCTTGTCACCCAACTTCTGTGGAAAAAAGATTGCGAGCTAAAGAATAAACCACCCAAGTTCATGATACGACCTGAATTTTCATGGCCAACAAATCAATGGATCTATATGCTAAGAGTTAGTCTTTATAACCTTTCCTCTAGACCAGGGATGTCAAACTCGCATCATCACATGATGTATTGGGACTTTTTCCCCTTTGCTAAACCGGGCGTGGGCATGGCCAGCACCTGACGCATCTGCCCCGTGGGCCACAAGTTTGACAGCCCTGTTCTAGACCACCATTCAGATGCCACCAGACTCAAGCCTAGATATCAGTACTTGTAAGCGTGATGGAACCTGCCATTTTGGTGTTCCTGAAATCCTGTTACTTTATAGGAAAACTAAATGTTTACTGTTAAATGCAAAAATTTAGGATCTTTCTAGGACTTGGGAAAAACAGCAGGCAGATTGAATAGATCAAGAAGCTAACCCTCTAAATCAATGTTTCTTAACTTTGGAAATTTTTAAGATGGGTGGACTTCAACTACCAGAATTCTCCAGTCAGCCCTGCTGGCCAGGGAATTCTGGGAATTGAAGTCTACACATCTTAAAGTTCCCAGTTTAGGAAAACACTGTTACAAACCCTGAAAGGCTTGCCAGGTGTGTTAAAAGCAAGATGGTGCCAAGAGGAGGGGCAGAATGAGCCTAAGATTCAAAGCGATACCTTCATTCTACTGCTTTTTTCTACCAGCACATTGTGGAGAACATCTGCTAAGGGGGTGGGAAATCAGCTCCTTCAATCATTTGCTATTTAAAAGTGATTGCCCATCACCCAAAAACGGTGCCCAATTCACCACTCACCGGCTGCATGGTGCCCCCAGCGATGATCACAGCTCGACATTCTTTCAGCACCGTGGCAAAATGCACAGCTGGATTGAGCAAAAGGAACTTGAGGCTGCTCAGGGCTAAAGTACCTGGAAAAATCAGAATATTTAGAGTTGGCAATTAAAAACACTGAAGGGCAGCCTGAAATGCAAAGGGGCCTTTCCACCCACCCCATGCAACCCCCTGCCTTACTACTGTCAATTTTCTAGGTGTTTCAAATGAAACAGGGGAAATATTCTTAGAGAAATAGCAAAACAAATGCAACTGTGGTTGCTTCCCAGGGGCTAATATGGAAACATCACTTGATTAAGTTACGACTGTACTTAATAAAGTAATTCAGTAAGCAGCAATAAATATCACAACCTCCTTAATATTGCTATAATCCCAGGATTTCAAAATGAATAAGGTGCACTAATTTAGCAACACCTGGAGAATAATATTTCCACAACTCAAACTGCAATCGAATTGTTCAGGTAAGTGCTTCTATGAAAAAGCATCAAGTGTTTACATAAATATGGATTTTTTTTCTTTTCTTTTTTGCTTTCAGATGCTTCCTCCAGGAAAGGCATCTGGGGAGATACAGACAGATCTCACTTAATGTCTGCCCTGTTTAGCGACTGTTCAAATCACAATGGCCTTGAGAAAGGTACTTTGTAAGATAGAGGAGCGGTTTTAAAAAATCTGATAAATAAATAAAAGTAAATTAACTTTACAACCAGTCTTTACATTTATAACAACTCCAGCATCCCAAAATCATATAATTGCTATCTGTGTGCTTCACAACCGGCTTCCAACAAGCAGAATCAATAGAGAAGCTGGCAGTCAAATCACAAGCCACAGACCCATGACAGACAGCTGTAGTGGCGCAGTGGTTAAAATGCAGTACTGCAGGCTACTTCTGCTGACTGCCGGCTGCCAGCAGTTCGATCCTCACTGGCTCAAGGTTGACTCAGCCTTCCATCCTTCCGAGGTCAGTAAAATGAGGTTCCAGATTGTTGGCAGGTAATATGCCGACTCTGTAAACCGCTTAGAGGGCTGTAAAGCACCGTAAAGCGGTATATAAGTCTAAGTGCTATTTCTATTGCTATCTCTCACTTAATCCTGAGCAACTTACTTAATGACCTCATGGGAAATGACATTATAAGCCCGCCGCAATCATGCCAAGTTCTGTTTGGCGACCCCGTTGCTTAGTGATGGAGTTGCCAATCCCAGCCATGATCGCTAAATAAGGACTACGTATAACGGAATGACCTTGAAATAATTCAATATATATACAAATGCACTTATTTTTAAATAAAGCAAATCAAAAGCGCATATAAAATACCTTGCCTGCTGAGAATGACTCTCCCATCTTGGTTTGCATTTGTGAGCGCGGCTAGGAAACTCTCGATGTGCATGAGTGGAGATGCCATTTTGGGGTGGTCGTCCTCACCTTCTCCGGGAGAACTTTGCAGAGCCCCTGCAGATCAAAAATCAACTTCTCATTTGGTAAGGCAACTTCTCCCCTATGAAAGATCATCTCCCAATTCCTCATTTCAACAAGCACACAAGTAGCATGTTCAATTTATTTTCATTTGGAGCAGTGGTGGGATTCAAAACTGTTTACTATCCGTTCTGTGGGCATCGCTTGGCGGGTGTGGCTTGGCGGGCGTGGCAGGGGAAGGATACTGCAAAATCTCCATTCCCTCCCCGCCAGTCAGAGGTGGTATTTGCCAGTTCTCCAAATTATTCAAAATTTCTGTTACTGGTTCTCCAGAATTGGTCAGAACCTGCTGAATACCCACCTCTGATTGGAGCTATTATCAACCCTGAAATGAACCTGGCTGAGGCCATCTTTGGAGGCTTCAGGGTTGCCACACAGCAGTGGGAGGGAGAGAAATAGCTAGATGGGGTTTTGTAGCCAAAACAATAAAGTTTTTCTGTGGAAACCAAGGACATTCTCACAGGTGGCTGGCCAGAGGACTGAAGTAACCAAGCAACAGGCCAGAACCTGGATTGGACAGCGTGACCAGTGACTTGGGGGAAGAGGGAAACTTTTACTTTTAATTAGGTTAAAGCCGTGGAAACTTTTAGAGTTGGCTTTCACCAGTTGTGCCAATAGGATGTATCCTATAAAACTGTTCTTTGAGGAATTTGCCTGCCTACTTTCTACTTTCTATGGGTGCATTACTTGGAACCCTGATAGCTATGTCTAAATGTGCGTTAATAGAAAAAAGGCTTCCAATGAGTCATTTTTGCCAAAGAATGCATTCTTGTTCCAGAACAATTTATCAAGGCAGCAATGACATATGGCTCATAGATAGGCCCTCAATCTTGCAAAAATTGCATTATTGTAACGAGAAAAGTCAAACTCTGATTCTTCATCGACTTTCAAGAGACAGGTAGAAAAATGACTTTTCTATGTATTATTTATATTATTAAAAATATTATTTATATCTTCGTCATTTTATCTATTATTTTCCATTCTTCTAATGGAAAATAATGTTTGTTCTAAGACACAACTCCGCATGAAGTTGTGCAAATACATGGAATGTGCTACTTACACTAAAATGAAGAGAAAGAACCAAGAACAGGGGAGCTCCATAGGCCCACCTGTTTCCAAACCTACTGAAACATCACTACAGGTAGTCCTCAACTTACAAATGTTAACTAAAAAGATACTCCTTTGGTCTTTTTAGCTGCCACTCCTTTGGTCTTTTTAGCTGCCAGCATTCTTCAAGTGCCCTAGATCAAGGGTCTTCAAACTTGGCAAGTTTAAGACTTGTGGACTGCAACTCCCAGAATTCCTGAGCTAACATGACTGGAGGAGGAATTCTGGGAGTTGAAGTCCACAAGTCTTAAAACTGTCAAGTTTGAAGACCCCTGGCCTAGATAATTGCCCTGGCAGCCCAAAGTTGTCGGAGCATAAGAATATTACTGGAGAGCATGATTGATGACTCTTGGCTATGGATGTTTCCCATTGGAGAATATACATCCAGGGGGTGGTGGGGAAGTCCAGGGTCAAGGGGAAAATGAATGATGTATTTTAGTATCGGCTGCATCCAGCCAACGCCAACATGGCCACTTCTAATAAATCCATTTTCTTTTCTCTGAGAGACTTATGATTTGAATGGGGGTGGATTTGTTGGAGTCCTCACAATGACCACAACGGAGTCCACAATTTCTGTTGTTAAGTGAAACATTTGTTAAGTGAAGTTCTGCACCATTTTACGACTTTTCTTGCCGCAACTGTTAAGTGAACCGCTGCAGTTGATAAGTTAGTAACCCAGGTTGTTAAGTATATCTGGCTTCCCCCATTTGACGTTGCTTGTCAGAAGGTCACAAAAGGGGATCGCGTGACCTGGGGATACAGCAACTGTCATAAATAGGAACCAGTTGCCAAGCCTCTGAATTTTGATCACATGATCATGGGAAGGCTGCAACGGTCGTAACTGTGAAAAACGCTCGTAAGTCACCTTGTTTCAGTGCCGTTGTAACTCTGAACGGTCACTAAAGGAATTGTGGTTAAGATTGAGGATTGCTTGTATTTTTCTGTCTTGCCTCTGCCAGCTCACCTCCTTCCAATTCTGAACACTGCCAAAAATTGCTTTGTTGGCCAAACTCACCTTCGTTTTCTGCCCTCTTGTTCAAGGTTTGCAAAAAGTTCTGCAAACCAGACAACTTTGGGGCGTCTTTCCTGGTTTTGAAAACTCCGTATCGTTCCACAAATCCTAAGAGCTGCAAGACAGGAAAAAGACCAGAAAATATTATTGAAATATTGTCTGTAAACTTTCCCCTGTTCATTAATCATTCCTGAAAAGGCAGGAAAGAGGAAAACATTCAGAAAATCTGTCTTCCCAAGGGAGATTAACACACATACCCCGGAGACCATGAAGAGACTCAGTTGGTTTATAAATGGCCACACAGGTAGTTCTTAACTTACAACCATTCATTTAGTGACTATTCAAAGTTACAATGGCACGTAGAAAAGTGACATGACATTTTTTTACTCTTAAGAGAGCCACGGTGGCACAGTGCTTAGAGTGCAGTAAGTGCAGGCTACTTCTGCTGACTGCCTGCATTTTGGCAGTTCGAATCCCACCAGGCTCAAGGTTGACTCAGCCTTCCATCCTTCCGAGGTGGGTAAAATGAGGACCCAGATTGTTGGGGGCAATAGGCTGACTCTGTAAACTGCTTAAAGAGGGCTGTGAAAGCACTGTGAAGCGGTATATAAGTCTAAGTGCTCTTGCTATTACAGCTATTGAAGAATTCCCATGCCCAAGTGATCAAAATTCAGACGCTTGGCAACTGACTCGTATTTATGACGGCTGTAGTGTCCTGAGATCATGTGATCACTTTTTACAACCTCCTGACAAGCTAAGTCAATGGGGAAGCAAGATTCAATTAACAACTGTATTACTGATGTAACAACTGCAGCAGTTAACTAAACAACTGTGGCGAAAAAGGCCATAAAATGAGCAAAACTTAATAAATGTCTTGCTTAGCAACATGCTAGACTCAAATGTGGTTGTAAGTTGAGGACTATCTGTACTCCGTAAGTTTGATTTAATTCAATATATTTGGCTTACCTTTAAATTATAATTATTTTCCTACCATAGATTTAATATATATTCCCTTCCACTCGATAAAAGTTACAGTAAGGTAACATGGTTTGAAAAATTTGGGGAGCCATATCCCAACCATTCACAAGCCCCACACGGTTCATTCTTGCACCTTTGCATAGGAAATAGCCAACCAGGTTAATCCAATTGGTCTGACTCAATCTAAGGCAACTTGCTATGTTCTCACATCCCCTGGAAAATTCCTGAAAGCAGACCCCCCAAAAAAGGCATCTGAAGGGCACGGAACCAGAATTTTATTCTGTTCTGTTGATGCACTACCTTCTTGCTGATGCAACTTTTCTCACAGTAACGCTGCACCTGTTGAAGAGAGAGAACATGCATATTAAAAGGTTCCTAGTTGTCTTAACAGGTTATCTCCAGTTTCAGCCTTCTTTGCCAGATTATCACGATTTATCATTCAATCTACACCTTTTAGAACAGGAGTGTCAAACTCAAGGCCCGCGGGCCGGATGCAGCCCGCTGGGTGCTTATATCTGGCCTGCATGGCTACCCTGGAAACAGCGAAGGACCGGCCTGCAGTGCCTCTGCCAGCAAAAACGGAGCTCGGGAGGGCTGTGGGTGGCCCTCCCAAGCTTCTATTAGGTGAATCTCGTGCAGTTGCAACATCTTGCAGTCACATGATCACCACTTGCAATTTTCAGCCAGCCTTCCCATTGACTTGCTTGTTCAAAGCTGACAGTGGGGGTCATGTGACTTGCAGGACCTTGTAATTGTTGTAATTCATGTGACTGTGAGGACCCTACAACGGCCGTATTTATGAGGACCTATCATAGTTGTTTTTTCCTAGCCCAAATCTCCCTAACTCAGCCCCATCCTTAACTTGGAACAGTTTTGGCTCCCTGCCAAATTCTAAACTTTGTCGCAAGTCAGGCAGTTCTTTACCTTGAAGAGATTGATGTTGTCAACTTGACACTGGAACAGAAAGTCATTGATGGATTTCAGCTGCACCCCTTGGAGAGAGAGAGAGAGAGTGGCAACAAGCAATAACGGGGAAAAATCTGGTTTGCTTACACCAGATAAAGACATGTTTTTCAGATCTGTACAATCATCTTCTTAAGCCCCATGCTGGCCAAACCATGACAATTTACCCATTTTCTAGAGTCACACCCACAACGTACCTCCTTCTGGTATGCTCTGCGCATTTGGATTCTGATTTACACTTCCTGGAGAACATGAAAAGCAGACCAACAATGATTATGAAATTATTTCCACGTGACATTGTAGGCTAAACTACATATCATCACTATGGGCTACACAACTGAGCCCCAAATGTCCGTTGCTAAATGAGATAGTTGTTAAGTGAGCTTTTTGGTCCCATTTTGCAACCTTTCTTTCCACAGTTGTTAAGTGAATCACTGTAGATATTGAGTAATACGGTTGTTAAATTGAATCTGGCTTCCCCATGGACTTTGCTAGTCAAAAGGTTGCAAAAGGGGAAATCACATGACCCTGGGACATATAAATTGCCAAGCGTCTGAATTTTGATCATGTGATCATGGAGATGCTTCGGTGGCCCTAAGTGCTGGAAAGAGTCATAAGTCACTTTTTTTTCAGTGGCGTTGTAACTTCAAACAGTCACTAAATGAACTGTTATAAGTTGAGGCCTAACTGTACTATATAGGACAGGGGTCTCCAACCTTGGCAATTTTTAAGACTTCTGGACTTCAACTCCCAGAATTCTTCAGCGAGCTTTGCTGAGAGTTGAAGTCCACAAGTCTTAAAGTTGCCAAGGCTGGAGACCCCTGTCCTATAGGATATCCTATGTATAATATAGAATAGTAATACTTTGTGGCTCAGCGATTAGCTCACATTCCACATAGGAACTTCCTTTTTTAAAAATAAATTCTTCTACTGGCTCCAATGAAGAACTTTTCAATGCAAATGGGAAAGCTCTGATCAGAAATGGGTCTGAATGCATTTCTATTGATGTCAGCAAAAATAAAAGGGCAACTGAAACGCTGCATGTCTATGGATAATTCTCAGCCATGGTTGTCTCCAAGCTGCTTTTTTTCAAAAGGCAACTGGACTTGGTTTTTTTTTTTTTCTGGTGCAATGCTGATTATTTAATGCATTGTTTTACTTTGCATCCACCGTAATCCAATAGCACCCTACCCCATTCCCAAAGCCGTGATTTCATACAAGACTCTTAAACTGGTTGCTGAAATAATCCATTTTCCAAATTAGCATACAAGTAGTTACAACGAGCTGATGGCATGTGTTCCCATCGCTTAGCAACAGCAATCCAGAGAGTCTTGATTGTCATTATGACCCCAAGATACAAGGGTTGTTATGTGGGAAGCAAAGCGTCCCAAGAGTGCAGGGATGCATACTTGGAAACCGCTTCTGGACTTTGTGTTTGAGGTACAAAAAAATAAAACACTGATTTTTGGGTTTTACCAATTAGATTTATTGTTATAGAAATGGCCAGTTTTGGCAATTAGAGAACAAGAAGAAAAAGATTATTATAAAATTTGGAATCTATCTTATGAATGGTTGGATAGAAGAGTAAAGAATTGAATTATATAAGTATAGTATAACATATTGTTACTGATAAATAGATGAGTTAGACAGAGTAAGAAAATGAACTTGAAATATATTATTGAAAGTTAAAGACTTAAAAGTTAAGGAAAATAGAATAAGTGACATATGTGATATAAAATATTGATAAGAACAATTATAAATAAATACAAGTTAAATATATATGATATTATTTTGTGCACGAAGAAATATGTACTCAACTGTGGAATAGAAAGGTTTTATGTTTGTTTTTGTTGTTGTGATAAAAATAAAAAACTTTTATTTAAAAAAAAGAAAAGAAATGGCCAATTTAAACTATTACGTAAAAGTAAAAAGTTGAGGTTTGCTGTTAATGCCTTATTCTACTGCACCAAACACAGTCAGAAGTCAATGCCTTTTCTTTCCCACACTTTTCTCTTTCCTTTTCCCTTCTCTGTTTTCCCATTATTCACTTTTGTATTTTCTTTGTATGCTATATTATAAACAAATAAAAACTGTGGGGTCTTTTTAAAAGACTACAGGGATACAGAAGGCCCTTGGGAGGTTCAGCACAGGCTAAACTGAAATTAGTGTCGCGCTGATGTCCAACACAAACTCAGGGATGCCAGGCAAAAGAGGGTGCACCTTGTGAACATGTGATCAGAGGCATACCAGGGAAATAGAACATGGGGAGTATGCGTGTGCCAATGCAGGGAGAGGCAGGGAAGAAGGATGCTGGTAGGGGTGTGTGTGTGTGTGTGTGTGTGTGTGAGAGAGAGAGAGAGAGAGACAGACAGACAGACAGACACAGACAGAGAGAGACAGAGACAGAGAGACAGACAGACAGAAAGAGACAGCGAGAGATGGTGAGACAGAGAGAGAGACACAGAGAAAGAGAGAGAGGCAGAGAGAGAGACACACACAGAGAGAGACACAGAGAAAGAGAGACAGAGACAGAAAGAGACAGCGAGACACAGAGAGAGAGACAGAGAGACAAAGAGAGAGAGAGACACAGAGAGGCAGAGAGAGACAGAGACAGACAGAAAGAGACAGTGAGACAGAGAGAGAGAGAGAGAGAGAGGCAGAGAGGCAGAGAGAGGCAGAGAGAGACAGAGAGAGAGACGGAGACAGAGAGAGAGACAGAGAGAGAGAGGCAGAGAGAGAGAGACGGAAAGAGAGGAAGAGACAGAAAGAGACAGCGAGACAGAGAGAGAGAGAGAGAGAGACAGAGAGAGAGGGGCAGAGAGACAGAGACAGAGAGAGACAGAGACAGAGACAGAGACAGAGAGAGAGAGAGAGAGAGAGCACATGAGTGATGAGGGGGAAGACTTACCCTAGCAACTTGTGACCTTCCCTGCCAACTTCACCTTTGACTTTGCTTCTGGGAAGTTCGCAAAGTATGTCAGCAATGGAATCATGTGACTGTGGGATGCTGCAACCAGTTGTAGGTCCAGGCTAGTTACCAACCACCCAAATTTTGTGCACCTAACTGCGAGGGTTCTGCAATGGCCAAACTTTGAGACCCAGATGAAAGTTCCTTGTTTTAGTGCCACTGTAACTTCGAACAGTTGCTGAATGAATAATCATAACTTAGCTATCTGTAATCCATCGACTATCTGTAATCCATCGACTCAAGCTATCAAACAGGATAACTTTGAAGAAGAAAAAAGAACAACATAGCGCTTGTAAAAATGAAGCACTAGGTTTAACTGACTTAGTGAAGCAAGTTATATGAATCCAGCCAAAGAATACATAGTAGAAATCAACTGTAGGTTTTTGGCCAGTAAGCAACTATATAACCACGTTACATTTTAGTCTTTTTTTGTTTTTAACATAACATCATCCCCTAAGGGAGAAGTACTCTTTTTCTGCTATGTTAATTCAAACTTACACTTCAAATAGTTTCCAATTTGCTTGTAATTATGTTTATTGCATTGGTACATGCATTTTAAAAAAAATTAAAACAAGCAATTTAGACTTTGAGTATATTAAGCTGGTAGCAAGATCTGTAAACAGGCAAGACTAATGCAATTATAAAGCATCTATCCAGAGCACAAGTATACACCTGAGGACAAACTAGGCATCAGAAGGCAAGCAGTAATTCCATTACAGCATTGCTTAAAATCAGAATTTCATTCTTCATTTGCTTTGTGTTTGTATCTATTCTGTTTGGGATGAGCAAAAATGGAAGGAGACAAAGACTTGTTGGAGAAATTAAAGATGGTAGTGATCAAAGGAAGATTGACTTGGAGGGGAAGAGACAAAACAGGGTTGCTGAAACCCTGTTTTGTTTTTGGAGAATCTATTGCATTTCCCAAAGACAGAATGATATCCCTCCAATCCATAGAGTGTCAAATTAATTGCTACGTTCTTTGATGCAAGTCTGCCATATAAACAATGGAATTGAGCTTGGTGGGACATTCCCCTGCAGAAGGTATCTGTGATGACCGGGGTGGGCGGGATACAAAACAAACACAGTCACAGAAAACAGGGGAAGCCCCTTTTATTCCTTCACTTTGCTTCCAAGCTCCAACTATCCTTGACTGAAGACAATAAACTCCCACACAAGCAGTTACAAGAAGGAGGGAAACAGCAACCCAAACCAGGCAAGTTAAGGGCTGGAGGACATCCACAGATAACAGAACACACACTGGGAAGGACACCAAACTCAAGAGAGGAACCATAAACTAGAGATATTTCCACGCTTTGTTTCCAGCATTCGCCCATACGCATGTCCGACCTCTTATCCAGTTGTCACAGCTGCAGCCCATGAAGAGGATCAAGGCCCTCTCCTCTCAAGTAGACCACGTCTCTCCCTTATCCTCTCCTCCCTGCATGCCCTAAAATGGAGAGGGGATGGGCCTGGGTCCTCCTCTGACTGCCCAGCCGGCCTCTGCCCTTCCCCAGCCTCCTCCACAACCTCCGGAGCCACACTTCCACACCCGGTCAGCTGTTCCTCCTCTCCCTCAGAGTCAGTCTCCACCAGGGGCATGACAGTAGCCGGAATTGGAAAGAAGATAACTCTGTTCTTACCTCCCAGGACAGCCACAAACCTCTCCAGCAAAAACAAAATCTGTTTAATGTACATCAAATTCTTGGCCTTCAAGCGTTTCCTAAAACAGATCAGATGATATATGAGTGCGCAAGGGTAACACAACGCAAGACAGCCAGGCTGAGCTTAAGAATATAACTGTTAAGGCCCACAGAAGGAATGGTGTCAATGGTGTGAAACAAAGAACATATGTAGCCCTATACCAAAAGGGTTGGCATTTGAATTTCTTTGCCATAGAGAGTTTCTTCAGCAAAGACATCAATAATCAACTTTCTGCTATGAGAGGTTTAAGAAGATAAGCTTTGCATCAGAACTTCCCTATTGTCTCGACCACAGCTACATAACTCAATGGATGGGAATGAGACCACACGGAGACCTTAAAAATAATGATGTGTCGCACAGGAATAACTGGCATGACAAACAATGGCTGGTGGTATGGCAGCAGCCCTGGAGCTGGTAGTGTTGGTGAGACCTGGAGGCACTGGAAAGGCTTGGCAAGCACGTTTTTAGGACATAGGTGGAAAACTAGGTGGCAGCAGCCACGTTTAGTGGCAATGGATTTTGTTCAGTTTTCAGAAAACGGCAGGCTGCACAAGGCTGTTCTGCAGGCTATAGGGAGCCGTGAACTACATTTATGGATTATTTATACAAGTAGTCCTCAATTTGCGACCATAGATCAGCCCAAAATTTCTGTGGCTAAGCGAAACAGTTATTGAGTTTTAAACAACCTTTCTTGCCACAGTTGTTAAGTAAATCACTTCAGTTGTTCAGTTAGTAACCCGGTTGTAAAGTGAATCTGCCTTCTTCACTGACTTTGCTTGTGTCAGAAAGTCGCGAAGGGGGAATCATGTGATTCTGAGGCACTGCAGCCGTCATAAACACGAGACAGTTTCCAAGGATCTGAATTTTGATAACTTGAACATGTGGATGCTGCAAATGGTAGTAAATGTGAAATAAAGCCACAAGTCTGTTTGTAACTTTGAACGGTCGTTAAAACAAAAGATTGTAAGACGAGGACTACCGGTATTTCATATTTCTAGCCCAGGGGTCGCCAATGTTTTGGACCTCAGGGACCACCAAACTTATAATTTTAAATCCCGAGGACCAGAGACCCTGGGAAAATCCCCCAAAAAAGTCTGCAGGAAAATTCCCCACCCCGTTTTCCTACCGACTGATCATTCTGTATTTGGGATCGCAAGATACCGTCTCCAGCTCCATTCTTGGGGGGGCGGGGGGAGAGAGAGAGAGAGAGAGAGAGAGAGAGAGAGAGAGAGAGAGAGAGAGACTTTTGGCTTCATGCAAGGAAAGCAGCAGAAGTCTTTCTTTCTCTCCCCAAACTCCGCCAGAAATGAGTCTTTGCCGGCGCAGCCTCTTGGGGCAGGATGCCTTGCAGGATCCCAAAGACTCATTTCTGGCAAAGTTTGAGGGAGAGAAAGACAGACTTTTGCTGCTTTCCTTGCATGAAGCCAAAAGCAGAAGAAGAAAGAAGTGGAAAGAAGCAGCCTGGTGGCCAGGCCAGGTGCATTGGGTTAGTGGGGCAAGTTCCCCCCTCCGCCATTTCCCCCCTCCCCTCACTACCTCAATGCAAGCGATGCAAGCCTTGTGTTCCCACGGGCCATGTGGGCGGCGCAGCCTTGTACCCGCGCAGCAGGATTGCTTTGGGGGGTGACATTTCTCTGCGGACCACCCAAATTTTCTCGCAGACCACCAGTGGTCCCTGGCCCACTGGTTGGCAACCACTGTTCTAGCCTATATGGGTAGTCCTCTATTTAGGACTGGTTGAACAACCATTCAAAGCTATGATAATACTTCCTGGGGGTACTTACGACCTGGTTCTGAAGATCCAATCATGTACGACCATGAGCAAACATCCTGCAGTCACATGATTATGTTTTATTATGGTTTTGGCGAAAATCAGCATTTTTGATGAAAACTGGCCCATAGCCAACTAGTGATTAGTTTAATGACTGTCACTTCATGACTGCCCAAAAAAAGGTCATAAAGTTGGGTCAGTTTGAGCCATTTTAGAACTATCTTGACTCACCACTATGATGGGCATGGTCCATTATGGCCATAAGTCAAGGACTATCTGTACCTGTTGTGCAGGTCCAATCTAGACCATGAAGCTACTTGCTGTGGGTGCTTCTCCTCCTGTCCATTCAAGAGTGGAAAGTTAGAAATTGCCAGGTGGTTTGTAGCAAAGTTCAATTTGCCATTGTATGCAAACTTGGCCAACTCACATTTCCACAAACTGGAACCTCGAGTCACAAACACTCACCTGTATCGTTCCATGTACTGAAGTAGCTGGGAGTGGGCGCGGCACAGCTAAAAACAGATATAAAACGTAAGACAATATTGAGGTTTATCCTGACCAGCATCGTTTTGCCCAAAAGGCTTCTGAGAAGCCCACAAATAAGACATGTAGTGACATAAAATTCCCTCTGTGTGTTGTGTTAACCAGTAAGGATGGTTCATTCTCCGAGCTTGTGGGTTGGTTTCCAAACGTTTCATTACCAGGCTAGGTAACGTCTTCAGTGGAGCTTAGGGGATGTCAGTGTCAGTATTCTTCTGTTTATAAGGGCTTGGTGTGGTCAATAGGTCTTGTGATGAGGAAGTCACGTCTTGTGATAGGTCACGTGTGGGTTGTATCAAGTGAGGCTCTTGTGATAAGTCTTGTGATGACCCGGGAAGCAGCAAACACATAATAAATTCCCAAATGTAAATAAATTTCCTTTAATGCCTCCAACTTGACCTCACTGTTCAATTGTTCACAGTTGGAGATTAAACTCTTTCCAAAACAGTCTCCGAAAGAAAGAAATAGTCCAAACTCAAAGAACAGATAACGGAGAAATAAAAAACCAAAACAAACCACACTGAAGGAATTTCCGACAGACGAGGATAATTAATTACAAACTTCAAGAAGATAACAAGGCACAGTCCATTGGAAGAACGCCAACCAAGATAAACCTCAGCCAAAAATAAAACACGCTTTGCTTCTAGCAACGCTGTGTTTTAAACTCCCCTCCTTCATACTATTCCCCCCAGCTGCAGCCAATGAGGGGGATCATGGCCACTTCCTCTCCCGTAAGCCACATTGTTCCCTTCTCCGTTCCTCCCTTGTGCCCTAGGATGAAGAGGGGATGGGCCTGGGTCTTCCTCTGACTGCCCAGCCGGTCTCTGCCCTTCCCCAGCCTCCTCCACAACCTCTGGGGCCACACTTCCACTCCCTGTCGGCTGTTCCTCCTCTCCCTTGGAGTCAGTCTCCAACAGGGGCACTACAAGTTCACATCAAGCGAGGGTCATTGGGAGGTGAAGTGCTGATTGTGGGTGTGTGGGTGTTGTGGCCCGTATTCAGGGACATCCATCTCAGAGATTGGGAGTAATTTACTGGTTTCTTACAAAAGCCCGACATGGATGGCTGTAGGCAAAGAGACCACAACAAGAAAGCTGCAGGTAGTAACGGAGAGGCCCTTAGGCCTGACTCACCTGTGAGCCTGTCACCTGAGTGCTGTAGATGGAAGCAATGGTATCAATCAGATTGTGAGCTTCATCAATTATCACTACCTGATCCTTCAGCTGGATCCCAGATGCCCTTCGGGTAGCTTCATGCAGAAGCATTTGGTATGGCAGCACTACCAACTGCGGGACAGACAGAGGCATTCATTCAACGAGAAGTCCACCACGCTAATCTTTATCTTCAGAACAGATTTTTGGGGAATCTGTTTATATATTTCTTTTCACATGTAGACTATGAGTGAGTTGGGTCTTATTTATTCAATCTTATCAGTTAGATTTTATATTTCACCATTTTTCTAGTTCAAAGGGGCATATATTGTTCCAAGTCTACAAAGTAGGCTAACCTGGAAAATAATCATGGGTTCAAAATCACCCTGTTTCTTAGCTAAAGTTCATGTTGAATCCATCCATATCTATCTATCTATCTATCTATCTATCTATCTATCTATCTATCTAT